TGCTAATCTTGCACGGCCAATCTCGCCCGCGCGATCTATGTGATCGTGCAGTCGAGATCGACCGCGCCCGCTGCAAGGCAGCTCCAAAAGGAGCTGCGCCCAGTAGGGCCTGTTGGCTTCGATCCCGGTATCTGCACGGTAAGAGTTCGACATGGTAATCTACTAGGCTAGTTTTTTTCACGGAAGCTAAGCCTGCTACCCTTCTACGTGAAGGGTAGCAGCCCAGCAGGCTGCCCAACCATGACCATAGGCAGGCCTCGTCGGCCCCCTTTCACAAAGCCAGCCGTGTCGCCATCGACACGGCGGCCTCCTGGTCCCGCAGCACTCACGCCGCCGCCCATTCATCGGGCGGCTCAACCTGATGGTGTCGCGGCCAGCCTTTTAGGCTGCAGATACGACACTGGCCCTTCGTACGGAGTAAACCCCGCGGTCCAAAAATAATAAAGAAAAATGTCCCCTACTTCCTCCGCGCCGCGGCCCTATACCTAGTGCGACCGCCCTTTTGAGCCTACTTAGGCCTTGAATCACGCGGCCGCTAGGCTAGGTCTAGTTTTAGCATTCCCACAACCGTGTGTTGCGGCGACTCTATTAAGAGTCGCGACTAACCGGTCACACTGGCGACTACCGCTATTATTGTCGGACGTCACAAGCGTCCGAACCTAGACTTAAACAGTTGTAGTCTTCTCGGTCATAGGGTAGGTCTGAATAAACTTTTGGCAACGTCAGTCCCATCAAGTCTTGTTTTAATGAAAATGCCAGACAACGTCTGACATGGAAAAGCTCGGGCAGATACCCTTGTCAGGGTTTTGCCCCGACACCGCGGGCGCCATTCCGACAGTCGACAGTGGTGTCGCCGGGAACGCATAAATGACAGTGTACGAAGCAGTCAAGTCGTGTAAGCCGGATCCGAGCTGAAGTTTGTGTTAAGGCACGTGTGATGACCTTACCTAAAGTGATAATGACAGCCACGGCCAGTCCAGTTGATGTGGCTCAGTGGTTAGAGCACCAGTTGGAAATACGCATTGTGGTATGAGGTTGCGGGTTCAAAACTCACTTGCAGCCTTGCGCATGGACACCGGCAGGGCATTAGATTGACGCACGGCTGGACATACACTCCCTTGGGCTGACGCATGGTAGTATTACAGACACTGCCTGCGCGAGGTTGTTCATGGTGTTGCATGTTGGTTCTGGGTTTCACATGGGTTGCTTGGGGGTGTTGGTCTTGGGTGTTCTGTTGATCTCCCCAGTCTGGCATATCACACTTTAGTGCCATTTCCGCTAGTCGTTCACATGGTAGAGTCATTCGATTACGTGTTACAAGGTCACGGGTTCGAGTTTGGTTTGGACCTTGGGGGGGTCCTTGTCCCGCTTGTCTCGTTCTCTCTTCGATATACACAAATGATGCTGCCTATACATCTCGATACATTGATTTGCAGAGCACGCACAGCCTTCGGGCACATACATAGCTTGCGAATTATACATGGCCTACGGGCTACATACACAGGTTTCCACACATGGTGCTGTCTGTATTGCAGAGCACACACAGCCTTCGGGCACATACATAGCTTGTGAATTATACATGGCCTACGGGCTACATACACAGGTTTCCACACATGGTGCTGTCTGTACATCTTGATACATAGATACACGGAGCATACATAGCCTTCGGGTATACACATAGATTGCGAACTACACAACTATCAGAGTGGGGGGGTCTAGTCACTGGGTGGGGTCTAGTATCTGCAGTAGGTACAGGTAAGGGCTGTCGGAGTCCCTACTGATATTCGGATAGAACTGTCTGGTGGCTATATAAGGCTTAGACCCTAGGGTAAGGGTAAGGGTATAAGTCGCTCAGGCCAGTCCGAGTTCCGCCTGACCTTGGGTAAGCTAGGGACGGTAAGACTGCTTCAATGGGTGCTACCCTGTCTGAACCTAGGGCCCAGAGTCTCTTGGGGCCTGTAGTAGGTTGTCTGGGCCTGGCGTCCGAAGTTCCGGTTCGACAAGGCTCGTCCGATTCCGCTTCCACCAGGGCTGGGGAACCGATCAGCCCGGGTGCCTATCACTGCTGTTCGGTCCAAGTTACCTGCCCATTGGTAGGGTAATGGTCCTGAGTGCTGGTCACACTGAGGTAGGATAGTGGGATAGGGGGTGCGCTAGGGGTATTGACGTGAGGATGGGATGGGAGGTGGTCTCATATTCCAGGACACCCAGGGCCTACTGCTTCAGGTGATCACTGTGCACTCAGTGACTGGCCTCTACAACACCATGGACTTAAAAAAAAGAAAAACAGACAGCCATGGCCACGGATCGACTGCGTCTATTTCTTTGCCATCCGGTTTCTTTTGTTCGCTCTCATTTCATGCCTCTGCGTGCCGGGCATCCTCCAGGCTGCGACTTTTCTGGGCGGCATACTCACGCCCGTAGGACCGGTTCTTCTTTTTTTTTTTTCTTTTTTTTTTCTTTTCTTTTTTTATACTTAGTTTTACGACTTTTACTCGTTAAGTTCCAGGATCATCTGGGGCGAGGTCCCACTAGCAACGGGATAGGATAGAAACGAGTTTGTGGGGCAGTTGAGTGACCCAAATCCTGCCATGCAGTACTCGTGATCCCACGCTCAGTACTTTACATGTATAACCCGAAAAAGTAAGGAGATCTTTGTTCCCCTCCTCCTCTGCTTAACACTGGGCATGGCCGTGCAAAGAAAGCTTCCCGCCAGAATCTTTTCAATCGGTTGGGGGTGTGGCCAACCCCAAACAAGGTTGGGGTCGACCTCAGCCCACTGGATAGAAGATTTCAGCATTTTACTTGCTGTTTTGCAATTATCTCATTGGGTGGATCCCTCCTTCAATCACGGAGTATATATATGGAGGGTGTCAGGATCACTGCTGACAGAAGTCGAGTTTATTCCAAAAAATGTGGCGGTTACTTTGTTCACTGTTGTTGCAACCACCACCATCAGATCATTTGTGATCTGATGGCTGGGAAGCACTCTGCCGTGATTTCCGGTGGGAGGTCTCTGTTTCTTTTTTTTGGGGGGGGGCTTTTTCCTGTTTTCTCAGCCCATAAATTTGTAATGAACTTGTCTGGCTGCTGCCACTCAGTGTCAAACTGGATCGGCCACACTCCTATCCGACTGCTAATGGGACCTCGCCCCTGGATTCGAACACGGGACTCTATTTCAACAGTTCATGCTTGTACCCACTGAGCTAGGCTCTTGAGTGTAGGACCTTTGCCACCGAACTGATTTTGGAAGGGAACCATGTTACGGTTAGACACATAGGGCCACACCAACTCATGAAATGTGAAAAAGACAAAAATGTGGCGAATACCTTTCTCGGCCTTTTGGTGAAGATCAAGTGTAGTATCTGTTCTGATCAGTTTAACAAACAAAAAAGAAAAAAGAGAAACAAAAGTGGCGAGTGCATATGGCCATGTTCTGTAAGTGCATTCTCGTTTTGCGCATTTCGAGAGTGGTGTGGCGATGCACATAGAAGATTGAGGTCAGACAACATCCTGTATGGACCGTCCTCTTGTGAGTGTTCTGCGTTTCCTTTTTTTGCCCTTTACTTTCTACTGTGGGCCTCGCCGCACCACTCTCGAGATAACGGACTATCCAGCGGCCTAGCTCAGTTGGTAAGGCACGCAAGTGGCATTCAGCAGGGCTTGGGTTCAATCCCCATAGGTCTCATGCACCTTCCTGGGCAAGCTTGGCGCCCACCACCTAGAGATTTGTCGTTGGTGTTGGTGGTCCCCCCCGACTTGCATTGAGCAGAGACTGCTGATGTTCATAGGGGGAGGGGACCACCACCTGAGGGGAGGCACAGTGACTGGCCCATCAAAGAAGCAAAGATCGGTCCTGATGCTACCAGCTGACCCCTGGCCGGTATCGCCCACCTCCACCTGCTCTAGCAGGAGGTATCGTCGCACCACCTGCTGGTGGGTGCAACTCCTGCATGTTCCCTCGTTGGAGGCTTGAGCACGGATGTGGCTGCTACGGGGTTCCTACGGGTTCCCCGTAATACTATAATGACAATAAAAAAGGCCTGAAAGGCTGTCCTGTCCAGAATAGCCTTTAAAAATAAAATAAAATAATAAATAAATAAATGAAACGGACTAAAATGTGGCGGGTGCATCTGGCCATCTTCCAGCGTGATGTTCGTTCTCATTTTGCACATTTTGAGAGTGATGTGGCTGTGAAGGAGCCGCCAGCATCTGCAGAAAAAAAAAAAAAAAAAAAAAAAAAAAAAAAAAAAAAAAAAAAAAAAAAAAAAAAAAAAAAAAGCGCAGGTTTCAACAGCCTTCGTTCCAATCAACACTTGATAGGAGGCCTATCAAGGCCGAGAGGTATTTTTGTACATAGCACAAGATGAAGCAAGGGACACTGGACCCGGTTTCCAGTACCAGTCCCTCCTTCCGGGTTGAGATGTGGAGGGATTACCGGCCTCCTTTTTTTTTTTTTTTTTTTGTTGGGAAAAAGCGAGAATTCCATTAAAAAGCCAACCTTGAGGCCGGGAATCCTCACAAACAACCCGGAACGACTCAACACTCTGTTCAGTGAGCATCCTGCTCAACAACTCCTCAGAAAAAAAACAGACTGAAAAAACAACCATCCACACGCAATTCTTTATACTCTAGTTTCCTTTATTTTCATAACAACTCCAAACCCCTAACCACCAACCAAACAACATAGGGCTTAGCCGCACTCATCAACGAGCGCAGCTTCGCCCCTTTATTCTATCTCCCCTACCCAACCACCCCAGCAGTCTATCCTATCCTTACTTAGTTCTATCCTATCCTAGTCCTACCCTCAGACCGTCTATCCGACGGTTGGAACCTAACCCGGTTCCTCCTACTTCTGGACACTCTCGTTCCCGCTTCACTTCTGCCTCCTACTGCGGATACTAACCGAGTGCCCTGGTAGGACTAGCTAGCTAACCACTCTGAGTACCGTAGTCCCTTTGCACCTCCTATTGTGACCAGCTTCCCTCCTTGAGCCCATGTATCTTGGAACCATTTGATTCCGTTGCTCCTCCCACTACCTCGAGGCACTTTCCGCCTCCAGTGTGCTGCTATCATTCTTCGAATCTTGGCCTTGAAGGTGGCTTTGATCTCTGGGTCCGGCATGATTTTCCTTTCAAACTGTGCCTTGTTCCTCTCCATCCAAATTACCCTCAATCCCACTGCCTGAACTGCCTGGGCTACGTATCCCCATCCTCTGTGCAGATGAAGACTGTCTGGGATTCCTCCAAGTAACACCCACTTTCTGTCCCACTTCAGCTCCTCTGTTCAACTTTCCCGCTGAGTTACCCACCAGTTCCAGATCCTCCTAGAGGCCGGGCAATCCCACCAGATATGAATCGTAGACTCGAACGACCAGAGGCACCTTTTACATTGCAGATCTATCTTTAACCCTCTGCTCATCAGGGAGACTGCTGAGGGAGTGGCCATCAGCGACGCCAACCACAGAAGCGAAGCTGCTCTGGTATCGGGGGCATCTATCAGTTGTTTCCAACAGCTAATCAGTGCCTGCTGTACTTTTTCTGCCTCTTCTGACAGCTCTCGACTCCATCTGTCAGTTGCTGTCATAATTGGCGTTCGGTACTGGTATCTGCACCTTATACCCCAACTCTAGAGAGTATTCGTCCATTCTCATGTTCTCCCCTCTTCAACCTCTCCCTCGCCAACACCACTGGTTTGGGTCAGCTTTCAGCCTAGCTAACGGAACCCCTCCATTCCACAGAAAGACTTGACAACTCCCACCCGTATCCAAAGTTTTTCTGATCCTCACCTCCTGAATACGACCAGTCGGTATCGATATCAATGTATCCCGTACGTCTAGTCGGGTCTGCTTCCCTTCTAGGCCTGCTGGAACCCACTGCTGAAATCTTTTGCCCCCGCTCCGCTCAGTTCTACTGTTTTGAGAAAGCTCCTTTCCGAGCCCTCGTCTTGTGCTGCCATTTCATACCAGGTGCCTGGCAGGTTTACGAATTCCGGTGAGAAGATACGCTTCCATTCGTCTGGGACCGCTTCGAGGACTTGCAGCATTCTCTGCCTGGAGTACTTCCCTAGCTTGAGCTTTCCTTCGAGTTCCTCAGTGTAGATCCAGTTGTTCCTCCACTCGTCCCACAGGTCTCTTAGGCGCACCACCCCTTTCTCCATCCACCTTCTGCCGAAGCTGCCTGGCTTTGCATCGGCCATCAGCATCGACCCTGTCGTATCCCTTATGAGGTGGTTTTCAAATATAATCTGTGAGAGAACCTCCTCCTTCGTACCTGGGTGTGAGACCATCTCTGGCTTTACCTTCCTCCAAGCCACCAATACAGCCGCCCAAAATTCTGAGCTCACTCTTCTTCTAAAGTAGGACCCCATCCAAACGCACGCCCAGACATCCCGTCCTCGAGACAAATTCCATTCCCTCACCATAATCCTCTCCGCTAAGAGAACCCAATGTTGGTCCCTATCCAGACAGATAGTCTGGACCACCCATCTGGCTAGCATAGCGATGTTTCTTCTACCTGGGTCTGTCATACCCAGTCCCCCTTCCAGCCTGGGGACGCAAATCAGGTCCCAGGCCACTTTTGACATTGCCTCCTGTCCTTCCTCAGCAAATGGTCTCTAGATAAATCTGGCTGCTTTCCTCTTGACCATGGCTTGTGTCTTCTTACCCAATGGCCTGACGTTCCCTACATACCATAGCAGAGCAAACATGGCGGCGTTGACTACTAGTGCTCGGCCGTATAGCGACAGGTGCGTCGCCCTCCCCCAAGTATTCAATCTCTGCATAACCTTGGGTTGTAGGATCTCTTCATGGCGCATCGCACAGGAGGAGAGAGCCACTTGCACTCCAAGGAAACGTTCCGACTCGTCCTGCATGATTCGTTTCATGCCCCACTTCACCACCGGTGAGTACTGCTCTGGGAGGAAGTAAACTGACTTTTGCCAGTTTATTGTAGCCTCGGAGAGTTCCTCGTACTGCTTTAAACAGTACCGCACTGGCAACAGTGTCATTGACTCTATCGTGTTGGTCGAGATCGCGAACAGGTCGTCCGCGAGGGCTTTCACCTTGCACGTTATCTGGTTCGTTTCCAGTCCTACCACCTGCACGTGTGCTCTGATATTGTTCAGCAGGACTTCCAGGTGCACAATGAAGAGGAGCGGCGCCAGGGGACAGCCCTGGCGCAGGGACCTTGACAGTTTGAACGGGGCTGAAATGTGGCCGTTGACCATCACTGATGCAGTGGACAGCGAGTAGAGTGCTACTACCCATGTGCAGAAGGGGTCCCCAAAGTTCATCCATTTCAGAGTAGAAAAGACATACGACCAGTTAACTCGGTCGTATGCTTTTTCCATATCGAGCAGTAATATAGAGACTTCCAACTCCTCCTGGTTGACCACATCAAGTGCCTCCACCGCTGTGACAATGTTATCATAGATGGATCTTCCTTGCACGAAGGCGGCTTGGTCGTCTGCGACCAGCTGGGGCAGGTATCTCCCCAGTCTTCTCGTGAGGACTTTCACCAGAATTTTATATGAGACATTCAATAATGAGATTGACCTCCAGTTCCTAATTTCATTGGTATCTCCCTTCTTGAACAGCAGCGAGATGATTCCTCTACAGGCGCTGACCGGAAGTACGCCTCCCATCTGTATTTCGTAGTAGACTGATACCAAGCTTTCTCCAAGCATTTCCCAGTGGTGTCTGTAGAACTCTACTGGCAATCCATCGTTTCCAGGTGTCTCGCCGTTGGCCATCGCCTTCAGTGCCTCCCCTGCTTCCTCTTTCGTTATAAGGCGGTCCAGGTCTAGTCTTGCCTCCACCGGGGGCAAGGTCCCACTTGCGCCGATTAGGAGATTTCGGCCGTTGATCTTTGCTATCTACGGTCAGTACCTCTTAATTCGAGCAAGTGGGACCTAGCCCCGGGAGGTGCACCATCGTGTTCCTCCGGTGGTCTGTTCCTATTGTCAGATCTGTGTTAGCTCCTTCGCCGATTCTCCTCGAGGTTGTCTCTGTAGTACGAGACTGCGTAGCTGCAGAGGTCCTTCGGTTGGGTTGCTACGGGGGCGTCCTTCTCAAGTCCTCAAACGGATGCTTTCACTTGAGTCGTTCTCGCCGGGCCTCCTTTTGCTTATGTTATAATGAAATATTGTTGCTCAAGAAAAAAAAAAGAAAAAAAAAAGATGTTCACCGTTCACTCTGGGACTTCTCCCTTGGGCCGTGGTCCCACTAGCAAAGAGGATCGGATCGAATGGCGGAATCTGGAAGAGTTTATGGAGAGGTGCAGGAAATCGAGATTGAACTGCTTTTCTGCATCTCTGCATAAAACACATCCAGATTCAGGAGCTTGATCCGATCCTCGTTGCTAGTGGGACCACGCCTAGGGAGGCGTTATACTTACTCCCTCCGACCGACTGAGGGCATCGCTCCACTACTCTGGAAATGTGCAAAACCAGAGTGAATCTTCTGCTAGAACATGGGCAGATACACCACCATGATTTTTGTCTTTTGTGCATTTCGAGAAGTA